TTTTTTTTTAAAACTTTATTTATTTATTTATTATAAGTACACTGTAGCTGTCTTCAGACACCCCACAAGAGGGCATCAGATCTCATTGCAGATGGTTGTGAGCCACCATGTGGTTGCTGGGATTTGAACTCATGACCTCTGGAAGAGCAGTCAGTGCTCTTAACCACTGAGCCATCTCACCAGCCCCATCCCCCTATATTTGCTTTCCTAAATAAAAGCCTAGGAATGACATCAGGGTTAGGGTTAGGTAATCAAGGTAAACAGTGACTGGTCAGGTCTGAAAAATACTGTGAGATCAACCATTCTAACAGGCCTGGATTGACGTCACACCTTCTCAACATTCTGACAGGCCTGGACTGACATCACACCTTCTGCTTCAGCCTTCATCATTGAAAACCTCAAGGAACAACCAACAGATAGAAATAAACAAAACATTCAACAGAATCGAGTTGTCACTTTTGATAAGACTGTCTGCATTATTTGACAGATGTGCTGTCTATCCTTAGCCAGAGAAATCCCTGAGAGCAATACATTCTGGAGACTTCCAAATCTGTAGGCTATAATGTTGAGCCATCCTATGTTATTTATTATAAAAGAGATCCATAACATTGTAACAGAACATCCAGGTAGTTCACTACAAAGGAAGACATTGAAAAAAAGAATGTTCAGGAGCCTGGAGAGATGGCTCAGTGGTTAAAAGGGCCTGAGTTCAATTCCCATAACCACATGGTGGCTCACAACCATCTATAATGGGATCTGATGCCCTCTTCTGGCCTGCAGGTGTATATGCAGATAGAGTACTGATATAATAAATAAATCTTTTTTTTTTTTTCAAGAGAAAAGAAGAATGATTGTGGGAGGGCAAGAGAGAAAGCATGTGAACATGTTGCATATGGAAGGACCCATCCAGGGCATGTTTAACAATTACTTCTAGAAAGAACATTGGGCATCAGGAACAAACTCTTTGGGCTTTCTGAGTATTCAAAGAAATGATAATAAAAACAAACAGAAAAGCCTTTGATTATTCAAGCTTTAGTGGACTCCAGAGAAGGAATACACTCACCAGCCACTTAGTTACAGTAACTTTTTTTTTAACAGGGTTTCTCTGTGTAGCCCTGGCTGTCCTGGAACTCACTCTGTAGACCAGGCTGGCCTCGAACTCAGAAATCCGCCTGCCTCTGCCTCCCAAGTGCTGGGATTAAAGGCATGTGCCACCACCACCCAGCGGTTACAGTAACTCTTAACTTCATTCAATACAACTTGCTTCCAGGACACCGCACATGCTTGACTCCAATGAGATCATGTGTCCTGTTTGTGATACACAAGTGTCGAGGTTTGTGCCACAACTTCCTGATTCTACTTTCAGATATGTCAATTTCCTGTAGTTAATTACAGTCTGAAAATGTTACATGGAAAATTTCAGAAAACAAACAATCGCTAAGTTTTAAGCTGGGCACTGTATTGATGTCTGATGGATTCTTTAGCCGTCCTTCTCGGCACTTTTTAGGGACTAAACCAGCCCCTTTGCTCAGTGACACGGCCATGTGTGTGCTGCTCTTCTGGAAGTCACTTGGTAGCTTCCTGATTATCAGATCTGCTATCTCTGTCCTTGCTGTCAGGTAATCTTTATTGTACTTAGTCACACACAGAGTGCAAAGGGCAGTCATGCAGGCCATCCTGACATGCCAAAGAAGGGTTGGTTATGTGAAAAGTGAGGTCTCAGTAAGGAACAAAAATTAATCACATGGAGGTTCCTAAGCTCCATAGTAAATTAGAAATCTGGAGGGTGTTGCTATGGTTGTTCTTTTATGCCAGTGTGTGAGTGTGCCCTTCTCCATGCACCGCACACATGGAGGCTGACAGCCTTCCAACATCTGTCTCCACTTTATTTTCATGAAAATTTTTATTTTTTATTTTCATTTTCTTTCAGCTAGACTGTCTGGCTGGTGAGCCATCAGAACCTACCCATCATTTATATGGTTGCTAGGCACCCAAACTCCTCCTTCTCTTTACACACTGAACCATCTCTCCAACCCTGCTGAGAGCCTATGTGAAAAGGAAAGGAAAGGAAAGGAAAGGTGATTTGGCTGTTCCAGTTCTTTTCTTTGTAAGATAGGACCAAAAACTAATTTGGTTACTTTAGGTTAATGTGGGGTTTTGTTTCATCTTGGATGCTGTATTTTTAACAATTGCTTTTGAAAGACTTATTAGTTTTACTTCACATGTATGTGTATTTGCTTGTATGCGTTGCCATGTGTGTACTCCTGTGTGGGAGCGCCAGCAGGCCAGAGGATGGTATCGAATTCCCTGGAAGTAGAGTTATGGGAAGTTGTGAGCTACCATATGGATGCTAGAAATCAAACCCAGGTCCTCTGCAAGAGCAGCAAGTGCTCTTAACCACCAAGCCATCTCTCCAGTCAACTCAAGAGGTTTTGTGTGGTTTTTTTTTTTTAAACACCCTGAATTTTGAGCTGATTACAGGAGCCCATTGCTTCAGACCAAGCTCCCACTCCTGTCCGGAAAGAGCAGACTGTAACTGTAAAGAGGTGTGAGTCACAGTGACATCTACTATCAAGGTATTTATTTCACCTTCAGAGAAACGAAGATGAAAGGGGCTTTCTGTTAAAGAAGCTCTTTCAGTTAGCTGAAAGAAGTTCCTTCGGTGCTTCATACTTTTACAACCAACTAAGCCAAAAGCCAAGACGAAGCAAAACCCCACATTAACCTAAAGTAACCTAAACTAACCAAATTAGTTTTTGGTCCTGTCTGACAAAGAAAAGAATTGGAACAGCCAAGCCACCTTTCCTTTCTTTTTGAGATAGGATATCAGTTTGTGCTCCAGACTGGTCTAGAGTTCCAGATGGTCCAGGATGCATAGTCCAGGATGGCCTTTGTTATGGTTTGTATATGCTCTGCCCAGGGAGCGGCACTATTAGAAGGTATGGCCTTGTTGGAGTAGGCATGGCACTGTGGGTGTGGGCTTTAAGACACTCATAGCTGCCTGGAAGCCAGTCTTCTCCTAGCAGCCTTCTGATGAAGATGTAGAACTCTCAGCTCCTCCTGCACCATGCCTGCCTGGACACTGCCATGCTCCCATCTTGATGATAATGGGCTGAACCTCTGAACCTGTAAGCCAGCCCCAATTCTTACAAGAGTTGACTTGGTCATGATGTCTGTGCACAGCAGTAAAACTAACTAAGCCTTAGACTCCCATGAGTCATCTTGTCCCAACAGCTTGAGTCCTGGGACCACAGGCATGAGCCACTGTGCCACGCCTACTGTTACTTGTTCAAGTCCTTCATTTTTCTGCCTATATAACTTTGTTCCCCCCTCCCCCCATTCCTGGAACATTTACTTTACATTGAGAAGTGTCTGATTCTGAAATAAAAAGTATTTGCAACTGAAGATCTTTAAGTTGTTGTGATCTTATTTTTGGCAACACTGAACGGGAAGCTGTACTTTCTTCTTCAGGGAAGGCAGCTATTCTACTGCAAAGAGGGCACACAGATATTAGATGATAGGATGGATGGGTTGTGGTAGAAACTGCTGAGTCCCTTCATCCCTCATTCCCTGTGTCCATCTCTCTCTCCTGCCTCTTATTCCTCTCACTCACTCTTGAACTAGAAATTTAGTCCAGGACCCCTACACGTAGGCAAATGCTCTACCACTGAAGTGTAATGTGGACCCCAGCCTTAAAAAATGATTTATTTATTTTATTTATGTGAGTACACTTTAGCTGTCTTCAGACATACCAGAGGAAGGTTTGGATCCTATTACAGATGGCTCTGAGTTATGATGTAGTAACTGGGAATTGAACTCAAGACTTGTGGAAAAGCAGTCATTGCTCTTAACCGCTGAGCCATCTCTCTAACAACTCCTAACCCCAGCCTCTTTATACTTTCTATTTTCAGACAAGTCCCACTAAGTTGTCTACACAGGACTTGAGGGGCCTATACCAACAGACTCTGTGGACACAAAGTCTGCCCAAATGTAAAGTGAGCTTCCAGGCTCACCACTGTTAGGCATTCTTGCCAAAAGAGTGTGATTTGCATGGTGTGGATAATCTCTACTTTACTTTGTTTGCCATACTCTGTCCCCTTACTCAGAGAGTGAGCATGCCATTTGTAACATGCCAAGATGGCAAAATGCTTCAAGTTTAGTATTTGTTGTAGGTAAGTCTACAAGAAATTGCAATCCTAAATGTATCTGACTGGAGGGCAAAATACTAGAATTCTCCTGTTAAGTGTGATTTGGAAATATCTGCCAAAAATTTGTATGCACCTTGACTCACTTTGGGGAGTGTATTTTACTTGCACACATCTTAAATCATGCACATACAAGGTCCTTCACTGCACCATTGGTTGCTCTATAAAAAAAAGTTCTTAATATGTCCTGTATGTTATACGATCACTACTTTTAAAATAATGATAAAAGGGACTGGTTTTATATGGCTAGATCATCAGAAAAAAAGAGAAAACTCTAAAGGAGCACAATTAGGCATGTTACTCTCTGTGAAAGGAAGAGAATACAAAAACCTTACATTTATTTGATTGTATTTTTGGAAAGAAGTTTTGTAAGAATACAATGAATAAGAAATGGAACTACCTGTAAATGTAGGATGACTATATAACTTGTCATTTGAGTGGCAGGTTCTAAATTGAAGGGCAGTATTACAAATTACTTCAGAACAATAGATGAAAAATAGCATTGTCTGACCAAAGTGGTATGTATGACTGAAACTTTAAAAAGATACAGTGTATAACAGGGAAAGGGAACACACATATATATATAGTCCAAAGATATTTGTGTACATGTGTGTGTGCATTAAATCTATATTGCATCTTAGAGTTTTGTGGGACAGGGTCTTTAGTAATCCCAGCTGGCTTCCAGCTTTATAGGTTCAGGTGTATAGACTTGAACTCCTTATCCCCCAGCCTCCACTTCTGGAGTGCTAGTATTATGACGGCCACCATCAAGCCTAGCTAATTATTTGTTTATAAGGGGAATATGCCAAAAGCAGTCCACCATTATCATAAATTGTGCAGTTGAGTTTCTCACAGGTGGAGAAACGCAGGCATCAGCACACCTAGATGCTAGTAACTCATCCTGGGAGGATCATATATATTCTTGATCGTGGTATATTCCCTCCCAGGTAAATTATCTGAAGAACCAGCCCGTCTCCGTTTCATACTTAAAAGCCATCTTCTAGTAAAGATAGATTAGGTTCCTTTCTGTTTATCATTAAACCTCTGTTCCAGACAAATTAGTTTCCTTTTTGTTTATCATTAAACCTTTGTATGTCAAGCATTGGGCTTTTCCTCCATCTGTAACCTTAACTACAAAATGTTCCGCACTGCCTCTTTCAGGAATAGAAATCATGTCTTTGCTTCAAGAAGTGGTTTATAGCCACCTTGGAGCCTTGCCTGCTGCATAGGTCACATGATCACCTATGACTACCTTGTTATGGCTACATGTTGTGATTGCCTTGTTTTGCCTGCCACCTAGTTTGCCCGCCAAATCTCCCATTTGGAACTCCTTACCAGTGAGCTATAAAAGCCTTGTCTTCCTTGCATTCAGGGCTGACCTATCGAACTCCACGTTAGGGGAGGTTTATTACACAAATAAAAGAGCTTGCTTTCATTAATTGCTTGCTCTAATTTGGCCATGATGCTTTGGGTCGGTTGCATTATTCCTCTTATCTTTGGTATTGACATTCCGTGTGTTGGTTGTTTTTTGTTTTGTTTTTCTTCAGTGTTGGACTACATAATTGGAGATAAATCTTTACATAGGTAGTTTAACAGATGTCTTTTTTTTGTTTTGTTTTGTTTTTCGAGACAGGGTTTCTCTGTATAGCCCTGGCTGTCCTGGAACTCACTCTGTAGACCAGGCTGGCCTCGAACTCAGAAATCCGCCTGTCTCTGCCTCCCAAGTGCTGCGATTAAAGGCGTGCGCCACCACCGCCCGGCTTAACAGATGCCTTAAAGAACGAAGCGGAGAAAAAAAAAAAAAATAACGAAGCGGAGAACGATAATAATCAGACCCGGAACTTAGCGAAAACACATCGTCTGACTTGCCGGGGCCTTACTGAAGTTGCACAAAGTACACGCCTTCAAGTTCTTCAGCCAATCACAAGTCGGAGCGTGAGAGCCCACGTCTCTAGGGAGACCTGGGCGGTCCTCAAACCAGAGGAGAGGAGTCCTGTGTCACTCAACTCGGAGGGAGGCGGTAATTCCGGCTCCCATATCCGGCGCTCTGGCCCACAAAGACGCTACTCTATGGCATCTAGCGTCCCCTCTGCCTGCCTTCTGGAGGACCACACTCGTTTTCTTCTTGGCAGCGAGAGGTCCCGCAGCCGTGGCTGAGCTGGAAGAAAGATGGCGGCTGCCGTGCGACAGGATTTGGCCCAGCTCATGAATTCAAGCGGCTCTCACAAAGATCTGGCGGGCAAGTGAGTATTTCCTAGGAGTACAGAGGTAGGAAGGAAGCCGCAAATTTACCTTCCTAGAGGCGACGGGCGCTTTCGGGTGTGAGGCTCGAGCTAGGCCTTACTCAGGGGGGCGGGCCTGAAGTCGGCTGTGGCGGTAAATGCTGGGAGCAGCTGAAAGCTGTAGGGACCATGTGCTGGGGTCCTAACCGTCCTACGATCCGGGGTGACTGCCTGCTTCTTAAGTCCTTGATAACGCCCTCTGCGGGTTCCTTTGGCTTCTGGAAGCGTGGTAAGAAAGATGACGGCTCCCCCGGCGGTGGGCGCCTTCCTTAGTGTCTCTTCGGCGAGCCCAACACACCGAGTTTGACTTCTGTTTGCTGCCGTCCCCGCCTTCGCCTTGTTGGAGGTAAATTTATATTCTGGACTTTGATGCAGAGTTTTTTTGTATTGTTTTTTGAAGAGATGGCTTTCCAGGATTGATAGGGGCTGAGAAGGTATGGACGCTGTCATGTGGTCCAGAACTTCTCAGTTCATAGAGTGTGTGGATCCTTATGTTCTGGATACTCTCAGTCTGTCACCAACAATATAGCAGAGAACATAGGCAGAATGTCCTCGGGCTCAGGATGTCTAGAACAGTGATATTTCCAGGGGCTGCTTAGGAATTTTGTCGAAACCTTAGGGTGCTTAGATCCACTCCAGGTCAAAAATTGAGACATGTGTCAGTCTCCTCAAGCAGTTGTTGAACAGCTTTAGTCTTCTTTGTGTAGATTTTACAGTTTTTCTTTCTAATGAAGTATGCCTTCAGTTGACCCTAACATTTATACCTCACAGCTTAGAGCATGTTGATCTAATTAATAAAATGCTCTTGCTCAGACTTGAACACTGACGGTGCATATGTTGGGTGGCCTCTGTGCTTGCTTTTATGTGTAGAAAAATACAGTCTACTTTACTAGTGGGAAATTGAATTGTATACCCTGGGCTTAACTATATTATTCTTCATTTTTCTGCTTTCAAAAATGGTAGGGTAATCGTGAGACATAGTTTTATTTGATTTCAAAATAAATATGTGTCTATATACTAATTAGACTTAAATAACTGAGCACAGTCCCTGGTGTATGGAAAATGTCATAAAGTTATTATTAAGCGGTCAGTAAGTACATATATATGACTTATTCCAAGAGTTGGAAATAGTTGACTTATGTCTTCATTGTTTGGTCTTTTTTCAAAGTATTAATATTTTGGTAGATTGGATAGAAGTAAAACTAGCTTATGTATTCCCTTATAGTTCCTTTGATTTTTTTTCTCTTTATTACAGAAAATATACGTTCATTGGTTATCAGCTAAGATACAGCTGTTAGAACTTGAAAGACTTCTGGAACTTCAGTTACTATTTACCTCTTTAGCTCTGAATTAGAGATGAACAGTAGCATGACTCCAATAGGATGTTTCTTTTGTCTATTACAGCTAAATAAATACACAATTTAGTAGTATAAAAGTGCTTCCCCCCACTTCTGTGTGTTACCTGGCCTGTTTTCTTGATTTTGCCTAGTTCAGTTATGCAGATTAATTTGGCTAGTGGTTTCGTTAGGGCTGGCCACATGTAGATAGATACCTGGCAGTTGGCTGGGTCTTTTATTCTCACTCTATAGTTTAGCCTTGGCTTTCTTCTGGTACTTCCTTCATCAGAGTGTTCTCACAGGGTGAGAATGGAAGCTGTATGGCATAAGGCTAGTCTGACAAGTCTCACATCAATTCTGCAATACCGATGAAAGTAAGTAAGAAGACCAGTCCAGATTCTAGGGGAAAGAAAATGGAATGTACTCTTTAGAAGCCAAGTGGTATTGTGCAGGAATATAAATGGAGGGTGGAGTGGGTTTTGTTAAGAGTAAATGAAATAATTTGCTTGATAAATGATAGCCCATGCAGTGTTAGTTGGCACTCCCCTCAATATTGCTTTCTTTCTGAAGATTTAGCTTATTATTTTTATTTATGTGTATGGGTGCTGTGTGTGTGCAGATGCCCATGGATGTTCAAAGAGGGAGTGCAATCCCCTGGACTTGGAGTTATAGGTGGTGAGCCACCTGATGTGGGTGCTGGGAATTGAACTCAGGTCCTCTGGAAAAGCAGCAAGCATTCCTTTAACCACTGAGCCACCTCCAGCCTTCATTGCTTTTTCTGAGTATTCTTGGCCTTCCCTTTAGGTGTTTACCCAGTACTATGTGGTAAGAATGTGTCGGAATGTTCACTCTCATAACAAGTTCTGCAAGCCACACACCTTATGATGTACATATGTCAGTCATCTGTGCCTTTGAGGCTTTTATATTGGGAACTGAGAAACAAAGGCTTCCACTTTAAGGATTTATGGAGTACAAGATTTCTAATACTGACACTTTCTGTTCCATACAGTGTATTGTTCAAGAAATGTTGGTTAAATCAGAGAATAGCCAAGGTTAGAGTTAGAGGGCATAATTTCTATTAGAACTCAGGTTTTTTCCAAAAGCTCACTTTTAACCATCCAGACTGTATTGTTTCTCTTGTTAAAAGCTCAATTAGATATGCTTTCTGATGTCATCTAAAGTTAGTATACGAAACTAGCCGTAGAAAAAGCATTTTGTGGTAGTAGTTGTAGATATAGGCTGCTTTCTATATATGATATACATTATATATGGGTTGGATTTTTTTGTTTGTTTTTTATTCTCTTATAAAGGTTTAGAAGAGCGAACTGGAGCAGTTGCTTAGCTATTAAGAGCACTTACTGTTCTTCCGGAGGACCTGGGTTCAGTTCCCAGCGTTCACAGGGTGGCTCTCAACCATTTATAATTCCAGTTCCGTGGGATCCAATGCCCCTTCTGACCTCTGAGGGCACCGGGCAAACACGTGGTGCACAGACACACATGGAGACAAAACACACACATAAAAGTACATCTTCTTTCAAGAAAAGTTTGGAAGCCAAGTGAAGGCCTTTGACCCCAGTACTTTCGAGTTGGAAGGAAGCCAATCTCTGTGAATTCCAGGGCAGCCAGGGCTATATAAAGAGACCCTATCTCAAAAAAATCCAAAAAACAACAACAACAACAAAAAAAACCAAACCCAAATTTTTAGAAGAGGAAGAGAAAGACTGGAGAGGGAGCGTGTGAAGGTAGTTGCTGTGGCAGCCTGTCTCGACTCAATAGGTTAAACTGTTTGGTTCTTGAACATTTGCTTCAGATGTGTCTTCCTGGAGACCTGCTCCACATGCACACACACTCAGACACGCACAGCATCCTCACACTGCAGCTGCTCAGTCAGCTTCCTGGCCAGCTGGAGCTTACTTTCATTTGGACATAGATTAGATGTTTGGTTTTTTGTTTTTTGTTTTTGTTTGTTTGTTTGTTTGTTTTTCTGGAGACAGGGTTTCTCTGTGTAGCCCTGGCTGTCCTGGAACTCACTCTGTAGACCGGGCTGGCCTCGAACTCTCAAACTCAGAAATCCGCCTGCCTCTGCCTCCCAAGTGCTGGGATTAAAGGCGTGCGCCACCACCGCACGGCAGATTAGATGGTTTTGTCTGTTCATTTCTTTACTTTCCTGACCAATTTTTAAAAAATGTTATTTCTGTGACGGCATGAGTTATAGGTCTTTGTTGAATCAATCTTATGGAAATACGACCCTTAAAACTTCTTCCTCCCAGTTCTAAAGTATGAAAGGTGTCCAGAGGAGGCTGCGAGGGATGGGGGTGTCATTGCAGTTTAAACATTTATTTTTTGTTTGTTTGTTGTTTTGAGACAGGGTTTCTTGTAGCCCAGGCTAGCATCCAACACTATAGCCCAGGATGGCCTAAAACTCCTTCCAAATTCTTCTGCTTCAGGCTCCCCAAAACTGGGTTTGCTAATGTGCCCTGCCAGGACCTGCTAACATTTTATGATACATTGTTAGTAATAGAAGACCTCTTAGAAGACCTTTGCTTACTAAGAAGACTATTTTTTTCAGAAGGAAAAAAATAAGATTGTACTGTGCTCTAGTGAGGTAGACTTTAGATTAGAATTTTGTATTATTGGAGGAATAGAAGTGTCAATGAGCAGTGGCAGAGAGACTGGGTAGCCTCCAAAGCCCCTTGGGACTCAAGTTTTTTGGTTCTCTGCTAATCCTTCCTGGCAGCTTTAGTGACTCGCATGTCCAAAATAGACACCGTTTGTGTCCCGGACACTATGTGGCAACTAGACAGTGTTATCGGCCCCACGTGTGCAGGGGAAACAGAGAAAGTGACTTTTTAGTTTTTTCAAAGCAAACAGCTTTATTTAGGAAAAAGTGAAAAAGAACTTCCGAGAGTGGGAGAAACTGCAAGGAAAGGAATACACACACACACACACACACACACACACACACACACAGGGAGAAGGAGAGAGACAGACAGACAGACACACAGATCAACCTGTAGTCACATAGGAGTCAAAGTCAAGCCAGGCTACAGCCCATATCTCTGAGCTCCTAACTAAATAGCCACAATTTTGGCCTTCTATTATTTTGATCAAACTTGGCTATGTTTTTTTGTTTGTTTGTTTTTTGTTTTCAGTGTCTCGTTCATACCCTAAACTGTCCTGAAACTCCTTATATATAGTTCATAGTCACCTCAAACTTAGGACAGACTTCTTGCCTCGGTTTCCTAACAGAATGAACTTCTTGTTTTCGACTAAAACTTGTAGGTTATCTTCCCCCAGTATTGCCCATTGCCACTAAATTTGAATATAATGCTTAAAGAACAAGAGATTATTAGAGATTATTTCTCCTAAAACTTGTGTTAGTGTGTACTTGTTTTAATTTTGGCTACTGCATTATGATACATCTATGTAAATAGCACTTAGCTTTTATTGTGAAGTAAGTCACTGAAAAAAGTCACCTAGTGACTTAAAACATAATAACGCATTTAGTTTACAGTTTTGGAGGTTGACAGTTTGTCTTAGGCTGAGGTAAATAATTATCTGCCCCAAATGGTCTTCCTTCCATGTGGTCTCCCACCTACATTTACAGTGAGCTGCTCACCGGGT